ATGAACATCTCATTTTAAAATATAAAAAATCTAAAATATAATTAAAATAATTATCGAGTTTCAACAAAATAAATAATTATTATCTTTATAAAAAATTATATTATTAAACCAAATATAAATTACTTCGGTACTCTCGAAGCATTCTCTAATTCCATCAACAATGGCTGCTTCCATCATGGTTCTCTCTTCTCCTTTCGCCGGACAAGCCGTCAAAGCAGCTCCATCCGGTTTTGAGCTTTTCGGAAATGGTCGTGTTTCCATGAGGAAGACAGCAGCCAAACAGGTTGCATCCAGAAGCCCATGGTACGGTCTAGACCGAGTCAAGTACTTGGGCCCATTCTCCGGTGAGGCCCCAAAACATTTGTCAAGAACCGTGAACTAGAAGTCATCCACTGTAGATGGGCCATGCTTGGAGCTCTAGGATGCGTCTTCCCTGAGCTTTTAGCCAGAAATGGTGTCAAGTTTGGTGAAGCGGTCTGGTTCAAGGTTGGAGCCCAGATTTTCAGCTAGGGTGGGCTTGACTACTTGGGCAATCCAAGTTTGGTTCATGCCCAGAGCATCTTGGCCATTTGGGCTACCCAAGTCATCTTGATGGGTGCGGTCGAGGGTTACAGAATTGCTGGTGGACCCCTTGGTGAGGTTGTCGACCCACTTTACCCTGGTGGTAGTTTCGACCCATTGGGGCTTGCGGATGACCCAGAGGCTTTTGCAGAGTTAAAGGTTAAGGAGATAAAGAATGGTAGGCTAGCCATGTTCTCTATGTTCGGGTTCTTTGTTCAAGCTATTGTGACCGGAAAGGGACCATTGGAGAACCTGGCTGACCACCTTGCTGACCCTGTTGCCAACAATGCTTGGTCCTATGCAACAAACTTTGTCCCTGGAAAGTGAACACTGATGTTGATTAGAGAGAACTATTTTAGGTGACATCTGATGCCCCTGGTAATGGACGGGTTTCCATGAGGAAGACTGCAGCCAAGCAGGTCGCCTCTGGAAGCCCCTGGTACGGCCCAGACCGAGTCAAGTACTTGGGCCCATTCTCCGGTGAGGCACCAAGCTACCTTACCGGCGAATTCCCAGGTGACTACGGCTGGGACACCGCCGGACTTTCTGCAGACCCCGAAACCTTTGCCAAGAACCGTGAACTTGAAGTCATCCACTGCAGATAGGCCATGCTTGGAGCTCTAGGATGCGTCTTCCCTGAGCTTTTAGCCAGAAATGGTGTCAAGTTTGGTGAGGCGGTCTGGTTCAAGGCTGGAGCCCAGATCTTTAGCGAGGGTGGGCTTGACTACTTGGGCAATTCAAGCTTGGTTCATGCCCAGAGCATCTTGGCCATTTGAGCTACACAAGTCATCTTAATGGGTGCTGTTGAGGGTTACAGAATTGCCGGTGGACCACTTGGTGAGGTTGTTGACCCACTTTACCCTGGTGGTAGCTTCGACCCATTGGGGCTTGCGGATGACCCAGAGGCTTTTGCTGAGTTGAAGGTGAAGGAGATAAAGAACGGTAGGTTAGCCATGTTCTCCATGTTTGGGTTCTTTGTTCAAGCCATTGTGACCGGAAAGGGACCTTTAGAGAACGTGGCTGACCACCTTGCTGACCCTGTTGCCAACAACGCTTGGTCCTATGCTACAAACTTTGTGCCCGGAAAGTGAGTGTAGTTTTTCTATTTATTAGAATTGTGAGGATGAAATCGAAAATCTGATTTTTTTGTAAATTAATATGCAATATTATATGATAATTTGTTTTGGCCAATTTATTTTTTCAGCGTCACATTGCTTTGGATTAAATGTAAAATTCAATACTATGTTAAATGTTTGTGTTAGAGTCATACATCAGTATAGACTTGGTCCATTTTTATCTTCTATATATATGTTGGAACATTCATACTCTTCTCAAATGGTTTTTCTAGATACGAGCACATAGGGATTCAAAAAACAATCCCATTTGTATTCCGCATATTCGGTTGTTGTGTTTATTGCATCATTTTGGATATGAGATCTGAATATATGATGTATTAGCAGCCCTACAAACACTATGATTGTGCAGACGCTATTCATGAGACTGAAATAAGATGTGAAGTGAATGGTTCAAGAGTGCAGAAAGTAGAGCGAATGTATGAAATTGTATTATTATGCAGAAATCTACGTTAGGTAAGTAATGCAGGAAAACTACAGTGCATACATAGAAAGCAACTGATTGAAATTCACCCCATCTCCAACCCGACACCAAAATATTATGTACTTCAAAAGATGGACTGAAACTACACCACATTGTGCTGCGAAACAGTACCCATACAACACAAGATGTAGAAACGCAAAAGCTCCTGTCAAGCAACTGCTGACTGGAGCAGAAACATGCTGCAAACATCCTTACACATATGGGTAAGCCTGCCCAAAGGAGCTTCTGGTCACCACCGAAGTAGAGGAATAACAGACTCAAACAGCTTTTAACACAAATGCCTCATCATGCAGAAATTGTGCATTTCAGTCCAAATCTCTGCTCCCAGTTGTGCAGAAAAGATGGTTCTAAATGCAGCTAGAATCATTAGCAAAATAGCTGACAAGTAGACCAACTAGTTGCCAAACTCTCTAGTGGTTGCCTTCCTAATTGCAGCCAGAGCCGTGGGCAGGTGTGTACAAGTCTAAACCAGAAAGTTTGATTGTGCCGCAGTAAATTATGCAGCAGCAAGTAGATGTGGCATGAATGGCTTCAGTTCATAGAATCCAGAACCACAGTATGAAGTTATATTACCCGGCAGAAGGCTAAACTAGTGTACAGGCAAAGGACATGCAGAAAAGTAAACTTATGCAAGAACCAATGTGATTCAGAAACAACCATATACAGCTACATAATAATTCACAAACAATTCACATCAGATGTCATCTATACTCACTCTCATATACATATGATGTTTACTTCCCGGGGACAAAGTTTGTAGCATAGGACCAAGCGTTGTTGGCAACAGGGTCGGCAAGGTGGTCAGCCAGGTTCTCTAGTGGTCCCTTTCCGGTCACAATGGCTTGAACAAAGAACCCAAACATGGAGAACATGGCTAATCTACCATTCTTTATCTCCTTAACCTTCAGCTCTGCAAAAGCCTCTGGGTCATCGGCAAGACCCAATGGGTCGAAGCTACCACCAGGGTAAAGTGGGTCGACAACCTCACCAAGGGGTCCACCGGCAATTCTATAACCCTCAACAGCACCCATCAAGATGACTTGTGTAGCCCAAATGGCCAAGATGCTCTGTGCGTGAACCAAACTTGGGTTGCCCAAGTAGTCAAGCCCACCCTCACTGAAGATCTGGGCTCCAGCCTTGAACCAGACTGCCTCACCGAACTTGACACCATTTCTGGCTAAAAGCTCGGGGAAGACACATCCTAGAGCTCCAAGCATGGCCCATCTACAGTGGATGACTTCAAGTTCACGGTTCTTGGCAAATGTTTCAGGGTCTGCAGAAAGTCCGGCGGTGTCCCAGCCATAGTCACCGGGGAATTCGCCAGTAAGGTAGGTTGGGGCCTCACCGGAGAATGGGCCCAAGTACTTGACTCGGTCTGGACCGTACCATGGGCTTCCGGATGCAACCTGTTTGGCTGCTGTCTTCCTCATGGAAACACGGCCATTTCCGAAAAGCTCAGAACCAGATGGAGCTGCTTTGACTGCTTGTCCGGTGAAAGGAGAGGAGAGAGCCATGCTGGTGGCAGCCATTGTTGAGCTTGGATGAAGAGAATGTGTGGAAAATAGGAGACTTGGTTTAAGTTATGAAAATGGATAGACTTGGGGACTAACTTTATAAACATGATTTGGGTTAGATTGATTATCTTGTATAATCTTTACCTTCATTTTGATTGGTTACATAGATTCTTATTTTGTCTGTTGCCTTTTCTAGGGGGCTGTTCTCTGCACCACAAACCTGTAATATCTCTCCAAGATGGAGACTTTTGACAAATGACGACTGTTGTCATTTTGTCCGTACCACAACGCTTTTATACCACTGCTAGCTATTGTTTAACACAACATTAAGTTGTATCTTGCAAACCTTCATTAGGAATTCTGTAAATTGCTTCAGTTTTTTTATATTCTTTCTTCTAAATTATGACATCCATGATCCTTCATCATCATCATCATCTAATTTTCCTTCTTAGATGTTATATGATAACAATTTATCTTCGTCCAAATTACCAAAACTTGCTAATTACTAATCACTAGAAACTACTGATATCATTTCACATCAACAAACAAAGAGTTCAACTATTATATCCAGAACATTATTAGCAACCACAGCTGGTAGTCGATAGGCTATAGTAACCAACCTTAATTGTTGAAACACTACGTGGTTTATGCTTGCTAAGCCAATGATATACAAAAAAAGCATACAATTTTTTTGGAGTTAAGCAATGCAAAACACTTTACTTCATAGCAGTATTAAAATGGCTTGCTCGTCGCATTTCCACTACTCGTTACAATAGATAGATATCAAAACCAAACACTCCTCATGAACTTTTAATTTCATTGTGGGACTATGTCATTGGCCATCAAAATTGCAATGAGTTAAGACCTAGTAGACACCCCAAAATCTTGTAGTATTTGTTGCTAATGTATGTGTTGAGTCTGTGATCATTCTAGAGCCATATAATGTCTCAATCATTAAAGGCACCGTTATTATAAACCTCTGTGTGAGAAGTGAAAACCTTAGCAATTGCCATACCAATGTGCTCTTTTACGGAGCCAGACACATTGGAGATTAACAGTCGTCCTATGGTCAACATTAGACATGTCCTTAAATCATTCATCCCCACTTAAAATTACTTGGATCCATTCTTGCCATCTTTCAACTGTGTCAAGATGTTTGTGGAGTAGATCAAAGGGTTGCTAATTTGCTCCATTGATTCTGTCTCCATCAAAGACCTAACAGGCGCACCTGTGTGCATCAAGCAGTTCTAACAGGTATCTTGCTAGACAATTCATATGGCCGTTTATTGATATGTTTTGTGCCTGGTCTTGCGCAGGCTTTGGTACTGTATCTGCTCAGAAAAAATTCATTTCAGCAGGTCTTGGTCGACAGTACGTAGTGTTCCTTAAACTGCTTTTTTTCCTGCACTTGTTACATTGTAGGATATGTTGTTTTGCAATAGCTTCAGCCATCATCTCTCCGGGTGCGTATGGTACGCAGACTGGACAGGACAGGACAGACCAGACAAAAATGAGGTAGATGGGTGAAAGATTTCTGCAAGGTTGTAGGGTTTTAAGTGACATGGCTGTTTTGTAATTTACAGATCTTGTCCCATCTCCCTCATGTTGTTCCATCTATTTTCAGTTTTATCCTGTCCCAATCTAAATGCCGCACCACACTGGAGACGAGAAGTTTTTGTATTCTCCTGTCCCAATCTAAATGCCGCACCACACTGGAGACGAGAAGTTTTTGTATTCTCCTGTCCCACGTACCAAACACGTAGGAACAAAACAACCAAAAGAAATACATGTATGCAAGTTAAATACTAATCAAATACAATGCGAGCAACTAACTTGTAGAAAGTGACTTGACTTCAACCATGATGTTTGCTAAGTAATGAGCAGGTATAGGTCATGCAGAAAAGTAAACCAATGCTAAACAAATGTAAAATTAGAACAAACTTGCTCAAAAACAGCCATATGCTATTGCATATTAATTCACAAACATTGCATTTATCTAAATTATCTCATATATATACATGCCAAGTTTACTTTCCAGGGACGAAGTTTGTAGCATAGGACCAAGCATTGTTGGCAACGGGGTCAGCTACGTGGTCAGCTAGGTTCTCCAATGGTCCCTTTCCAGTGACAATGGCTTGAACAAAGAAACCAAACATGGAGAACATGGCTAACCTACCATTCTTTATCTCCTTCACCTTCAGCTCTGCAAAAGCCTCTGGGTCATCGGCAAGCCCCAATGGGTCAAAGCTACCACCAGGGTAAAGTGGGTCGACAACCTCACCAAGGGGTCCACCGGCAATTCTGTAACCCTCAACAGCACCCATCAAGATGACTTGAGTAGCCCAAATGGCCAAGATGCTCTGGGCATGAACCAAACTTGGGTTGCCCAAGTAGTCGAGCCCACCCTCGCTGAAGATCTGGGCTCCAGCCTTGAACCATACTGCCTCACCGAACTTGACACCATTTCTGGCTAAAAGCTCAGGGAAGACGCATCCTAGAGCTCCAAGCATGGCCCATCTGCAGTGGATGACTTCAAGTTCACGGTTCTTGGCAAAGGTTTCGGGGTCTGCAGAAAGTCCGGCGGTGTCCCAGCCGTAGTCACCTGGGAATTCGCCGGTAAGGTAGCTTGGTGCCTCACCGGAGAATGGGCCCAAGTACTTGACTCGATCTGGGCCGTACCAGGGGCTTCCAGAGGCGACCTGCTTGGCTGCAGTCTTCCTCATGGAAACCCGTCCATTCCCAGAAAGCTCAGAACCAGATGGAGCTACTTTGACTGCCTGTCCGGCAAAAGGAGAGGAGAGAGCCATGCTGGTGGCAGCCATTGTTGAGCTTGGATGAAGAGAATTGTTGAAGCTATGAAAATGGATGGACTTGGGGACTAACTTTATAGATATGATTTGGGTTAGATTGATTATCTTGTATAATCTGTCCCTTCATTTTGATTGGTTACAAAGATTCTTATTTTGTCTCTGACTTTCTCCAGGTGGCTGTTCTCTGCACCACAAGCCTTTAATATTTCTCCCAAGATGGAGACATTTGACAACAGGACGAAATGGTGTCATTTTGGACACGACGCTACCATACCACTGCTTGCCATTGTTTAACACAAGTACACAATACAAAGCTGCATCTTTCATACCTTAATTAGGAATTTGGAAAATTGTTTCTGTTTTTCTATTTTTTTTCTTCTAAATCATGATAGCCATGCATGGTCCTGCATCATCATTAATTTTCCTTCTTAGATGTCTAATTACGAATCATTAGAAAGCATTGATATCACATCAATAAACAAAGAGTTCCACAACCATATTAAGAACATTATTAGTAACTGCAGTCGGTAGCCGCTAGGCAATTGTAACCAACCCAATGTCAACCAAAATTAGTTATTGTAGAATCATACAGTATCTCAATAATTCAAGATAGCCTTCATTATAGGCCAAAGTGTGATCAGAACGTTAGCTATGCCCAAGTCAGTATTCTCTTTTGCGGAGCCAGTCACATTGGACGGTCCATATTTGGGTGTTGAATTGTAACATTAGATATGTCCTTCTTAAGAGCTGAATGTTTTTTACTTGGGTTTACTGGCCTGGATGACTTATTCGCTAAGCCATGTTTGGGTGTTTGTTTATGACGTAATGAGTAAGCCATGACCAAAAATAGCTGAACCAAGTAAGCCAGAATGGGTGTGTTGTCCGGTTTCAGCCATTTTTTTCCAGTTTTTTTAACCTTGCCCTTCTATTTGCTGTGATTCTTGTGTAGTTATATTTGGTTACTGAAATAGTAGCATATTGTATTGATTCATGTATCAATTTTGAAGTTGATGAGGGATCCGTTTGATTCTCAGAAGTCAAGACGTTTAATGAAATCAAAAACAAAAAAACAAACGGTAAAGGGTAAAATGGTCATATGTGTCATTCAGACAACTTATTCAATGCAACAAACAAACAACTTAGCTTTTAATCCATACAAGAAATAAATAGCAGCATACAATGTTCATTGTTCATCCCCTCTTAACATTATTTGGATCCATTCTTGCCATCTTTCAAACCGAGTCAAGATATTTATGCAGTTGATCAAAGATCAAAGGCTTGCTAATGCTCTGCATTGATTCTGGCTCCATCATGAGTAGCTAGAAGGCTCACAATCGCCCCAACACAAAAGTCCAAGGTTGAATTGCTTTGGTATGCGCAAACCGCAGCTACATAATGCACCTTTCTGACTTTCATCACTTGATCATGTACTACTATATGGGTTTTGCAATCTAACAGGCGCATCTCTGTGCATCAAGAAGTTCTAACAGGTAATCTTGATAGGCAATTCCTATGGCCGTTTGTTGCTACGTTTTCTTCCTGGTCTCGTGCAGACTTTGCTGCTGTTTCTGCATAGTTTTTTTCTCATTTCAGCAGATCTTGGGCCACAGTAAGTAGTGTTCCTTGCACTGCCTTTAACCTGCACTTATTACATTGTAGGATACATTGTTTTTGCAATAGCATAAGCCATCATCTCCTCAAGGAGATCAGATTAGGAAAAAACAAAACAATCGACATCAATACATGTATGCAAATTAATATGAAAATCAGACATAATGTGAGCTACTAACTTGTAGAAAGCGACTTGACTTCAACTATGATGTTGGCTAATCCATGAGCAGTTAAGCAGAAAAGTAAACTAATGCAAAAACAAATGTAAAATGAGACATAAACTTGCTCAAAAACAGCCATTAACTATTGGATATTAATTCACAAACAAATTTGCATTAGATTTGATCTAAACCCTCATAAATAGACATTCTAATTAAGTTATCACTTTCCAGGGACAGTTAGTAGCATACGACCAAGCATTGTTGGCAACGGGGTCAGAAAGGTGGTCAGCCAGGTTCTCCAGAGGTCCCTTTCCAGTCACAATAGCTTGAATGAAGAACCCGAACATAGAGAACATGGCTAACCTACCATTCTTTATCTCCTTAACCTTCAGCTCCGCAAAAGCCTCTGGGTCATCAGCAAGCCCCAATGGATCAAAGCTACCACCTGGGTAAAGTGGGTTGACAACCTCACCAAGGGGCCCACCAGCTATTCTGTAACCCTCAACAGCACCCATCAAGATGACTTGTGTAGCCCAAATGGCCAAAATGCTCTGGGCATGAACCAAACTTGGGTTGCCCAAGTAGTCAAGCCCACCCTCGCTGAAGATCTGGGCTCCAGCCTTAAACCACACCGCCTCGCCGAATTTGACACCATTTCTGGCTAAAAGCTCAGGGAAGACACATCCTAAAGCTCCAAGCATGGCCCATCTACAGTGGATCACCTCAAGTTCACGGTTCTTGGCAAAGGTTTCGGGGTCTGCGGAAAGCCCAGCAGTGTCCCAGCCATAGTCACCAGGGAATTCGCTGGTAAGGTAGCTTGGGGCCTCGCCGGAGAATGGGCCCAAGTACTTTGACACGGTCTGGGCCATACCATGGGCTTCAAGAGGCAACTTGCTTGGCTGCTGTCTTCCTCATTGAAACCCGTCCATTCCCATAAAGCTCAGAACCAGATGGAGCCATGTTGACTGCCTGCCCGGCAAAAGGGGAGGAGAAAGCCATGCTGGTGGCGGCCATTGTTGAGCTTGGATGAAGAGAATGTGTTGACAGGAGGAGCTTGGTTTGAGTTATGAAAATGGATGGACTTGGGGACTAATTTTATAAACATGGTTTTAGTTAGATTGATTATCTTGTTTAATCTTTACCTCCAATTTGATTGGTTTCAAAGATTCTTATTTTGTCCGTTGCTCTCTCCAGGTGTCAGTTCTCTGTACCACAAGCCTTTGATATTTCTCCCAAGATGGAGACATTTGACAACAGCCAATGGTTGTCATTTTGTCTGTACCACAAGTCCACAACTCTTGTACACCACTTCTAGCTATTGTTTAACCCAACAGTAAGTTGTATCCTTGCATACCTTCATTAGGAATTCTGTAAATTGTTTCAGTTTTTGCATATTCTTTCTTTCTTCTAAATCATGATATCCCTGATTCTGCATCATCATTAATTTTCCTTCTTAGATGTCATATGATAACGTTTTATCTTCATCCAACTTGCCAAAACTTGCTAATTACTAAGCTTTAGAAACCTTTGATGTCACATCAACAAACAAAGAGTTGAACGACCTCATTGTTAGCAACCACAATTGGTGGCCGACAGGCTTTAACCGACATTGGCGGCTCGTAGCCAGTGGTCCCAAATTTAATCGTTCATACCCTACCGTTACCAACATTAGTTGTTGAAACACTACATGGTATTGGTTCATGCTTACTAGTCCAATGTGATACACAAAAAGGCATATATTTTTTTAGTTAGCGATGAAACACTTCCCTTCAGAATCACATTTCCACTACTTGTTACTACAGAACATTTTTCTTTGGCAACCATTGGCCATCTAATGTGCAATAAGTTAAGGTCCAATAGACACCCCGAAATATAGTATATATTGCTAATGTATGTGTGTGTCTATGATCATGTCAAAGCCATACAATATCTCAATGTTTCATGATAGCCTTAATTATGAAACTAAAGTGTGGGAACGTTAGCAACGCCCGAGCCAGTGCTCTTTTTTGAAGAGCTAGACACATTGGACCTTAGCAGTCATCGGATAGTAACACTAGACATGGCCTTCTAACATTGTTCATCATTCGTCCCCACTTAACATTATTTAGATGCATTCTAGGGCATTCTTACCATCTTCCAACTGCATCAAGATATTTGTGGAGTTGATCAAAGATCATGTTGGAGTCTCATATCTGCTAGACTTGGACCATTTCTTCTTAATATATGTTGGAAGTTAAAACCTCCTTTCTCTCCTTAAAGGCTCTTTTGGACAGTAATCTAATGGGGTTTTACATATTCCCAAACCTCACATGATATAAAAATCAAGATTTGCTACAGCCACTCTAGGGACCGACACTCTAGCGTAACCTATACTAGTATAGCCCTCTCTTGACATTCTGGGACTAGGCCCATCTAGCCTCCATTGGAGGGGGCATATTGAAGTCTCACTTCGGCTATACTTGGACCATTTCTCCTGAATATATGTTGGAACCTCGCTTCTCTCCTTAATGGCTCATTTGGAGAGTAACTGACCTGGTTCCACATATTCTCATAGATCAAATGGTTGCTAATGTTCTCCTTTATTTCTGGCTCCCATCATGAGTACCTAGAAGGCTAACAACCATGAACCATATACTATTGCATATGGCCATTTGTTGCTGTGCTTTCTGCCTGGTTTCGGGCAGACTTGCTGTTGGTTCTGCTCATTTTTTTTTCTCCTTTTAGCAGATCTAATAAGTAGTGTTCCTTACACAGTTCTTTTCTTGCACTTATTACATTGTAGGATACGTTGTTTTACAATAGCTTAAGCCATCATTTCCTCAAAGAGACAAGATTAGGAACAAAGCAATTGACAGAAGCATGTATGCAAATTAAATATGAAATCAAACACAATGTGAGCAGCTAACTTTTACAAAGCGACTCGAATTCAACTATGATGTTGGCTAATTAATGAGCAGGTATGAAGAAAAGTAAACTAATGCAAAAACCAGTGTAAAATCAGAAACATACTTGCTCAGAAACAGCCATATACTACTGCATATTAATTCACAAACAAATTTGCATTAGATTTGATCTAAACACTCTCTCAAATATAGACATTCTAATTAAGTTCACTTTCCAGGGACAAAGTTTATAGCGTAGGACCAAGCATTGTTGGCAACAGGGTCAGCAAGATGGTCTGCCAGGTTCTCCAATGGTCCTTTTCCGGTCACAATGGCTTGAACAAAGAACCCGAACATCGAGAACATGGCTAGCCTGCCATTCTTTATCTCCTTCACCTTCAACTCCGCAAAAGCCTCTGGATCATCGGCAAGCCCCAATGGGTCAAAGCTACCACCAGGGTAAAGTGGGTCAACACCCATCAAGATGACTTGTGTAGCCCAAATGGCCAATATGCTCTGGGTTGCCCAAGTAGTCAATCCCGCCCTCGCGATCTGGGCTCCAGCCTTGAACCAGACTGCCTCGCCGAACTTGACACCATTTCTGGCTAAAAGCTCAGGGAAGATGCAACCTAGAGCTCCAAGCATGGCCCATCTGCAGTGGATGACTTCAAGTTCACAGTTCTTGGCAAAGGTTTCAGGGTCTTCAGAAAGTCCGGCAGTGTCCCAGCCATAGTCATCGGGGAATTCATCGGTCAAGTACCTTGGGGCCTCGCTGGAGAATGGTCCCAAGTACTTTGACTCGGTCTGGGCCATACCATGGGCTTCCAGATGTGACCTGCTTGGCTGCAGTCTTCCTCATGGAAACACGTCCATTCCCAAAAAGCACCGAACCAGATGGAGCTGCTTTCATTGCCTGTCCAGCAAAAGGAGAAGAGAGAGCCATGGTTGCTTGGATGGAATTAGAGTTATGAAATGAGTTAATTTGGAGGGTAATTTTATAATGATGATTTGGGTTAGATTGTTTATGAAGTTCAATCTTTACCTCCATTTTGATTGGGTGGGAACCAAGATTCTATCAATTTATCTCCAGGTGGCACTAGTATTCTATACTCCAAGCCATTGATATTATGGAAGACATTTGACAAGTGGAGGAAACGGGTGTCATTTTCTTTGGACCACAACGCTTGTATATACCACACCTTTTGTTTAGGTTGATTTTAAATGAACCCTATGTTCTATTTGAACCCCTGCCTATAGTTTTCCTCGCAGTATCTTTACATTTCGGAAGCCTTGATTTGAATTTTAATCTAATGAGGTCCAAATAGCAAACCGGTTTGTTTAACACAGCAATGAGTCGCATCTGATTCAATTTTCGAATGGTTCAAATACCACTAATATAGATGCTTAATTATGCTTGATTTTTCTTAAAGAACATTTGCTTTCGTACATAACTTCTTGATTAAAACTACCATAAGTTTGTTCATTAGTAAGTGTTAAATTACCGCAAGTGTATAGGTATTGTAGCATACAGGTCGATCGATCTAAGTACTAATTTGCTAGAAATCATGGACTAGTAATGTAAATGATCTAAAATTGGTGAATATTAAAATACAACTTAAACTACAGACATCAAAATGAAATGACAAATAAAAAGGAAATAAATTTAACTACTTCCGACAATTAACTAGCTGGAGTAAGGAAATGTCGTACTGTGAGGACTTATCTTTAGAAAACTACTTAATACCTCTTCCGAGGTTTAATAAGTCTTCCTGAATCTCACTTAATGTTTGATGTTGATGTCTGTGTTGCATCTAATCATTTCAGACCCCTAAAATATCTCAAGCATTCAAGATTGCCTTAATAGTAAACCAGTGTCCAGTGTATCAGAATCTTAGCAATCCCAAAGGCAATGTTAACTAAACATATTATACCCCTAGGGCCTGTTTGGTTTTGCATGATTTGAAGGGATATGGAACTGAATTCCATTCCAATCCTCTATTTGGTTTGGAGGAAAGCCTGGATTTGAAATCCCTTGATTTCAATGACATCCCACAACCGACGGATTTAGAAATCGCTTGGGCATATGACTCTCATTTCAATTTCAAATTCAAATCCAATGGATTTCAATTGTTCATCTCATCTCTACTCCGCTTCTTACATCAAATCTGCATTATTCTTTCTATTGCCTCTAAACAAACAAATATTTACAAAAATTTAAATTTCATTCCAATCCTACAAACCAAACAAGATTCATAAAAGGATGGAATTCAATTCAATTTCAAATCCTACAAACCAAACACATTGAAGATTCCAAATCCTTCCACAAAATCCAAATCTCTCAAAAACATTCCGTCAAACCAAACAGGGACGTTAGTAGTTGATAGATCCTAACATTAGACAGGTTGCTCTAATATTGTTCATTTTGCTCTATTCTTTCTATCTTTCAACGGATCAAAACGTTTGTGGAGTTGATCAGAGATGAAAGGGACACCCAATGTTATCCATTGATTCTGGCTCCAACGTCAGTGGTTAGAAGGCAGACTACCCACCATGAACATTCAAGACCGAATCTTTTTACCCATTTCACTGTTTCATAAACATACACTGTATGAATGCTTTATCTTGACAGAATCCCAAGTGACTTGTTTTTAATCTTATTTCTAGTTTTTGTAGTCACTTGATACATGCCTAGAAGTCTAAGGAAGTACTAAAAGGGTAACAAGCATATCAAGCAATTGCTCATTGAAGCTAAACAAGCTGCACAGCTTCAAACAGATGCAGATTTCTGCCAAAAAGAGCTGCTGCTGGTAAGCACTGAATTACAGCCATTACAAGCTGAAAAACTTGCTACAGCTGCCTTACTATGCAGAAAATATGTGTTCTATGCACGTCTGTAGCCCAGGTTGTCCAGAAAATGATGGTGCTTAATGCAGCTAGAACCATTTGCAGAAATAGCAGTCAATCAGACATAACCAGCTGGCTAACTGTGCAGATTTTGCATGGATAAATGCAGCCTAAGCAGTGACACAAGGTGTGCAGAATTCTAAGCCTGAAAACTATGATTATGCAGAAGAAACTTTTTCAGCAGAAAGTCTGATGTGTTGTGAATCATAAGTGTGTAAAACGCATACTACAATGCAGAAAGCTAAACTAAGACTAATGGATATAACCAAGGAACAACAAAATTGAGAACATAATCGGCCAAAAATAACAATATATATATATATATATATATATACTACTATTTATTAATTCACAAACAAACTGGCAACAGATTTCACCTAAAAGAGTACTCTCTCAAGAACAATAGTGTTCATTTTCCAGGGACAAAGTTTGTGGCATATGACCAAGCATTGTTGGCAACAGGGTCAGCAAGATGGTCAGCTAGGTTCTCCAATGGTCCCTTTCCAGTCACAATGGCTTGAACAAAAAATCCAAACATAGAGAACATGGCTAGCCTACCGTTCTTTATCTCCTTCACCTTCAGCTCTGCAAAAGCCTCTGGGTCATCGGCAAGACCCAATGGATCGAAACTACCACCAGGGTAAAGTGGGTCAACAACTTCACCAAGGGGTCCACCGGCAATTCTGTAACCCTCAACCGCACCCATCAAGATGACTTGTGTAGCCCAAATGGCCAAGATGCTCTGGGCATGAACCAAACTTGGGTTGCCCAAGTAGTCAAGCCCACCCTCGCTGAAGATCTGGGCTCCAGCCTTGAACCAGACCGCCTCACCGAACTTGACACCATTTCTGGCTAAAAGCTCAGGGAAGACGCATCCTAGAGCTCCAAGCATGGCCCATCTGCAGTGGATCACCTCAAGTTCACGGTTCTTGGCAAAGGTTTCGGGGTCTGCCGAAAGCCCAGCAGTGTCCCAGCCGTAGTCACCAGGGAATTCACCAGTCAGGTAGCTTGGGGCCTCGCCGGAGAATGGGCCCAAGTACTTGACACGGTCAGGGCCGTACCATGGGCTTCCAGAAGCAACCTGTTTGGCTGCTGTCTTCCTCATTGAAACCCGTCCATTCCCAGAAAGCTCAGAACCAGATGGAGCTACTTTCACTGCTTGTCCAGTAAAAAGAGAGGAGAGAGCCATGGTTGAGGCAGCCATTGTTGAGCTTGGATGGGATTAGAAGATGGTTTGAAAGTAGGAGACTTGGGTGGAGTTATGAAAATGAGTTGATTTCGGGAGTGATTTTATAATGATGATTTGGTTGGATTGTTTATCTTGTTCAATCTATTCCTCCATTTTGATTGGGAACCAAGATTCTGACAATATATCTCCAGGTGGCAGTCTTCTGTACCACAAGTTATTGATATTACGGAGATATTTGACAAGAGGAGGAGATGGAAAATGTCTCCCTACATTATATCTTCATATTCTATTCCAAATGATATATACTTTTATGAGTATGGTTTGACGGTGTGTTTTTGAGTGATTTGGATCTGTGGAAGAAATTAGAATTGAAATAATTTGAAATCTTTGATGTGTTTGGTTTATAGAATTTGGAATACAATTGCATTTCATTCTTTATAGATAATTTATAGAAGCAAATTATAAATAATTAAAAAATAAATAAATTACAAAACAAATGTTTTTAACATATTTTAAAACATTATTACAAACAAGTCCTTTGAAATCCCATCAAATACTAACCACCGCAATGGGATTTCTAAATGCAATGTACGTGGATTTCACTGAAATACCCGAATTTCAGTTCCTGATTTCCTTTAAACCAAGCACAGCATTGGAATCGAATCCATTCCAAATCTCACAAAATCCCGGAAACCAAACAGGACTAGTACGTTTGGTGTGGTTTTCTTTTCCTTAATGGATTAAATACCTAAGGAGACCAAATAAATCAAATAGACTCTTGGGGGTGTAACCTCAATACTTATATTCTTTCACAATCCTCTATTACTCAACCTTAATTGGCGCTCCTGGGCCAAAGAAGAACTTGTTGTCGAAAAGGAAAAAAAGTACACTACCCTTGTAATACACTGGCTAGCGCCTTTGTTCGATTGGACTGGGGCCTCAGCTTTTTGAAGGTGAAGACATTCGCAAGGTCCTCTTGCTATTATCTCGTAGCTATGTCCTCAACTACGACGGCTACTGGAGTGAGGTTGCGTATATAATAGAGTGGCATTTGGGCCCATAGATAGAGTCATCTCATCCGATGCCTTTTCGTTACCACTCCGTGGGGGTTTTCTAGAAGAAAGGTGCCAGGTTCATCAGGGTCGAAATCAAACCTGATAGAAGATTCAAAAAAGTGCTTGTGGAGTGAGAGCCTTACGACCCGATGATTGGACATAGGACAAATTTGAGCTCTTCTTCTTCATTGGAACCTACCGTACTAGAAAGAACTTATTATGGAGTCATCTGTTGGGTAGCTCATTTGGCCACGTCTTTGTGAGCTCCTCCTTTGAACTGGATTTGATTTCACCCCTATTTGAAAGTTGTAGGCATGACTTCGCTTTTGTGTGAGGTGTAACACCAGAACCCTCCTTTAGCCCTACCGAGGAATAGTAGAGTTCCACTCTCTCTAAAGGATGAGTAGGCAATCTCGGCACTAAACTCATTGCAGTAAGAGATAGGCAACACGATGGATTTTTAAGGTGAGTCTTCAGCTGGGGGAACAATGATTCTTTCCCCTAAAGGGTAATAGAATGGGATGGGGTCTCCTCTACTCGTTTTCCCACACTCCATCCAATTGCTGCCTAAGAATCGTGTGTGGAAAACACTTTCCAAATACAACAATTCGACCATATAAGCCTTGGGTTTCACGAATTTCGTATTGGGATAATTCTTAAGTTTTTCATCGCATTTCAAAGGTTGTGAAAACGTGATATTTATACCCAGATTCTCGTTTTCCGCATTTAATTGAGAGATCGACAGTTATGAGTAGTTAAACGATAATGACCGTTAATAGATGAGATTGAAGAGTAGTTATAACCGAATCAGAGAAGTCTGATTCGAAGTCTGGAAAACGAAAGTCTGAACCTAAGACTGACTTAAGGTCTAGATTTCTGGATCCACTAGTCCAGAGTTAGGGCTTAGTCGTTTTCCTGAAGTCCGGAAAAGACTCAAGTCCAGACTCAAAGTGCAGATTTCTGACCCCACTAATCCAAATTTAAGAATTTGGCGATTTTCCCAAGTCTCAAGATCTCTGAGCTCACTCGTTCAGAGTTAAGACTTGGGTGATTTTCCTAAGTCTGGACTCAAAGTCCAGGTATCTGAACTTACTCGTTCAGTGTTAAGACTTAGGCAAATTTAGGCCTCCGATCTGAATGATCAGATCTCTGGTCAAGCTCACCCAGACTTATACTTAGTGAGGTTTTCACTAAGTTCGACTCTTCATAAATACCAAGGGGCTCTGCCCCTTAGAACCCTGCTAGGGGCGTTGCACGATTTGATCTGGGTCAAATCCAAGTAAGATTCCAATTTCAATATATTACCACTTTATCATCCCACCTTGCACGATCTGCGCCAACCTTTCTGTTGACGATTTTTCTTCATGTTAGGCATGCTTTGTCGGAAATCTATCGTCCACTTGGCATGAAAGTGTCATTTTCTTCTTTAACTTGGTACAGTCTGACCATCTCCAATCGAAAATGCTAAAGATAGCACCAATGCCAAATTTTACTATTCAGATTTTCATTATTTACCATAATAACACCATCATCTTCAACCAATTAGTGCTAAATTATAGCACTTTTTATATATTTTGACAAATATTTATTATTTTATCATTTTAACTATAACCATTTTTTTGTTAGGGTATTCTAGGCCTAGACTACGTACGGAAAGTGCGACTGTAAGACATCAACGTGATAAACTCAGTGGCCACAATTGTTGTTGATGCCTGAACTATAACCATTTTTAGCATATATTAATTTACCTAATGCACTTTATTAACAAAAACTAACCTAGCCAAACTTCAAACACAACCGATAAAATGCAGATCATATAAATTCTTGAAATACTTGGAATGTAGGAATCAATTAATCATATAGAAAAATGAAGAGAAAACAGCAAAGATATTGAGATTTATGAAACTAAAGTAAGGAGAAAACTACCTATGAAAGAGACCAACAAGAATTTCAATATAATCGATGATTCTTAACTACAAGTATTGGAAAGAAACAAGTGTGGTTGTACAGATGCATATATGGGAGTTAGTGTATGGAGACTTGGATGAAAAAATTTGATCTAAAGCTGTCTGAAACCCCACCCTGGACTTCAATGGCTTCATCTTTGTGGGTGCAAAGCTTTAGTAAACATGTCTAAGTTGGAGATAACTGCCTGTCGGCATTAGCTTGATTGTGTTCATCCAAACAAAATGGCAATCGGTTTCTATGTGTTTGTTATGTTCATGGAAGGTGTGGTTATATACAAGCTCAAGTACAGACTTGATGTCACATAACAACGAAGTAGGATAAGTTGGAAAGACATTGAAAATTGTGAAGTAATTGGTGTAGCCAAACCAATTCAGTGGTTGTAATGGCCATAGCTCTATACTCCTCTTCAGTTGATGAACATGAGACATCAGACTGGCATTTAGGCCTTCATGACAACAATAAACCACCCACAAACACACAAAATTCAGTTATTGATCATCGAGTATCACACACATGCCTAATCAGAATCAGAAAATGATCAAATCTGAGTAGAGGATTGGCAGATAAAAATATCCCTTCAACCGGCTACTCTCTGTCTCTCATATAGCATAGAAGATGAAGAGCTGAATCAGATGATGCTTTCTACTATAACCAAATTTTGTACAGGTCTTTCAACACAAAGACTTTTGTGAAATAATTCCCTTGTCATTAAAGAAATTAGCAAGTTCAAGTTCCTTAGCATTACCTGATCGAAGACCTCTAATGTTCTTGCCAAATTGTGTCTTGATAATAGCAAAGAACTGAGGAATAATTATGATTACCTCATACTTGTGTTTAAGCAAATAAACCTATGTAAAAGGACTGTGATCATCCACAATCAAGGTTTTAAAAGGTGGAATTGTGCCTCGAGGCGGAAATATATATCCACCAAAGTATATATATATATATATATATATATATATATATATATATATATATATATATATATAGGAGAGCAATCAAATGCAAACCACTCAATTTGTACAAACCGTGCAAACCTCATTCAACCAATCATAATTTTTTATTTTGTTCATTTTTTTGTAATTATGAGAGGTTGATTATCATTTTTATTGTGGAGGGTGTTAATCATAGATATTATTATCTTCATTATTTTAATTTTTAGAGAAATACATGAAACAGTTTCATTAATNAAATACATGAAACAGTTTCATTAATTTTAGAGAAATACATGAAACAGTTTCATTAAGTATTATATGAAACAATTTCACAACCATATATGAAACAACTTGATCAAAAAACGTATTATATGAAACAATTTCACAACCATATATGAAACAACTTGATCAAAAAAAGTATTATATGAAACAATTTCACAAGATTAAACAATTTCATGAAAAAATTTCATAAGATTTAACAATGAAATCGACGGATGAAGGTGGTTTGCACAGTTTACACAAATGATGGCAGTTTTTTATTTGATCACTCCTCTCTCTCTCTCTCTCTCTCTCTCTCTCTCTATATATATATATATGGGTTGCAAACCAAGCATAATTTTTCTTTTTCTTCACTTATTTTTGTAATTATGAGAGGTTGGTTAGTCATTTTTATTGTAGAGGGCGTTAATTATTGATATTATCACTTCATTATATTAATCTTAAAGAAATATATGAAACAATTTCATTAAAACATAGAAACGACCATATATGAAACAATTTCACCACCTTAACCAATTTTATGAAAAAATTTCATTAAATTAAACAATTAAATTGACAGATGAGAATGGTTTGTACGGTTTGTACAAATTGGGGTGATTTGCATTTGATCGCTCCCCTATATATACATTTTTGTGTGTGTGTGTGTGTGTGTGTGTATATATATATATATATATATAGCCAAAGGTTATTTTGTGAAGTGATAGATATTTGAGAAATAAATAAATGATCCTAGCCCTTCATATGGTCAATATCGGATTTGACTGGTCAATAATTGTGG